CAGCGCAAAGGCGCTTGCCGTCCTTCTTCGTGACAGTGTGTGAGCAACCACGTCGTCAGATGGGGAATTTGCGCACTATATAATAATTGTCCATATACGTATATGCCTTTTATTTCACTTACTTCAATTACTGCTTCTTTGGTACGGCAGAAGCTTACTGATGAGGAGGAACAACGCGCCTGGTCCAAATCCGAGCTTGCCAAAGCGGAGATTCGTCGTGATCTTGTGAAGATAACTTCGCTACCTTGTTTCACTGTAATACTTGGCTCCATTATTGACCGCCAGTGCACCGTGAAGCGCTCCAAAAAGCGCCCACTAATGGGTTGTCTGGACAAATCCGGACATCCTGGGTGCCCACCATCACAAAAAACATCAGCTGTTGTTCAAGCACGGCGATGACCTGCGTCAGGACATGCTAACTTTGCAGTTGCTGAGGGTTAGTGTTATCCTGTTGTCCCATTCATTTCAAACTCCACTTGGGAATTGTTACCATTGGCTAAAGTTTATCTCTCCATATTTTCGTTTTAATACGCGTTTTATATTTTAATGAATTCTGCCCTTTTGTCCGACTTTGAAATGGACACAGCAGCTGGCTATTGAAATTCCGGGTTGGAAGTGGGGAGCCAGTGCGCGTGCGTCGTGCGGAAGACGAGACAAAACGCCTATTCAGTCTCTGTACCCAGTCTCACCTCCACTGGGCTTCACTCAGTCGTGTCGTGTAATGGATATGTTCAGCATTGCTGTCAGCTGCCTCAGCCCCACCTATGTCCCTCTTTTTCATAGGTGATGGACCGAATATGGAAAGATGAGGGACTGAATCCTCACCTGACTACCTATGGTTCCAGCCAGCGTCATCGTTGGTTTCTGCAGAATGCTCAGGGCGACGGGGTAGCTTACGAGGCGGCTGTTGAGCGTTTCACCAACGGCTGTACCTTGATATTGCCTTGCCACCTTCGTACTGGGTATTCGTGATCGTCACAATGATAACATCATGGTGGACGCCAACGGCCGTCTATTCCACTTCGACTTCGGACACATCCTCAACAATAAGAAGAAAAAGAAGTTTGGCATCATTATGGAACGAGTGCCCTTCGTGTGCTGACCAGCGACTTTGCCTGCGTCATCGCCCGAGGAGAGGAGGAACCCTACCGCAGTCAAGGCTTCATTGAGTTCATTAAACTCTGTGGCAATGCCTACCTCGTGCTGCGTCGCCATGCACACCTCATACTCACTCTATTTGCTATGATGCTGCCTTCGGGTTTACCAGAATTGACTTGTATGACGGATTGAGAGTATTTGCGAAAGACCCTGGCCGTAGAGATGACGGAAAAGGAGGCGCTTTGCTACTCTAATGAAAATTTGATGAGGCCTACAATGGCGCCTGGACAACAAAGATCGACTGGTTCGCACACTGGATGGGGAGATAAACTTATCCAGCAAAAGGGATTGCTTGCTTGGTGATTTTCAGTGCCATTTATTATTTGTGCATGTTTCTAGAGGTGATTTAACACCTCAGTCGTGTCTTTCTTTTTATGTGCCACGTTTGGTCTTAGCTTATTTTTTACTACCCCTCCACAAGATACCAGAGTAGAAATATCTTGCTTATAATCGGGTCTGTCGACCAGTAGGTGCCTTCTTCCGGCTCATCGCAACTGCTAAGTTAAGCAGAACTGTTCTACTCACAGTCGGTGGTTTCGAAAAATAAAGGGGTTGGGAATTCAGTAGTAATATGGTACTACTCCACAGTGGGTTGATATTAGAAGTCCGGTCAGTTAAATTTTGACCAAATAGGGAGTGAGGAGTAAGCCTGATCGAGCACTACGAGAAACACTGAAACAGTTAATCTGGATTGTCAGCTAATTTGCTGACTGGATCTTGGCCATGAGGGTGTCGGGGTTTGTGCACACGCGACCTGTTTACGTCACCTGACGGCTGTCGCCTCCGCCGTTGCCTGTAAAGGTTGAAGCAGTGGTTTATAATGGCTTGTCGGACTCGGTATACTACCTGAAAGGCTCCCTTTTTATTAACGTTATGGCTATTTCCTATCATAAGCATTCGGATGGAGTAGACTACAAAAACGTCGCAATTATTATCTCAAAACTGTTGTGAAAGCTGGCCGCTCCAATTTTTGCTGCAAAGTCTG